ATAAATTCTGCATTTTATGACTATTATAATTTATTGATTTTTAATATATATTTTTTAGATCAAGAAGAAACAATCGCGTTGGTGTTCTTATGTAAATGTCAATGTTTTTGTTGATATAACAAAGCTACTTGAAAAAATTGGTAGTGTTCATGTGTTTAAAGAGTCTCCTTTTGGTTATCTATTAGGCTTGTCCCAATTGAAAGTTCAACCTCAGATTATTAGATGTCTTGTTCATCATTTAGCTAACAATCGGGATGACATGTTTGTGTTTGACATAAATGGTAAAGAAATGCATTTTGGGCTTAGAGAATTTTTGATAATTACTGGGTTTAAGTGTGGTGGGTGTATGGTTTTTGATCATGATCAGAATAGTACATCTAAGTTACTTTCTCGTTACTTTCCAAATGCTGTTGATAAGGTTTTGAAAGCTGATTTCATAAGAGTGTTTAAAGAAGATGGGTTGATTCAGGAAGAAGACTTTTTTAATATGTCTATGATTTATTTCATTAGCAACATTCATTTTGTCATCCCCACCACAATTGTCACATATTCCAAAAGATCACTTCTTATGTGTTGAGTCGGGACAGTACATTACGTACCCCTGGGGCAATCTCTCCTTTTATAATCTTCGTCATTCTATTTCGAGTCAAATGGCAAAAGATCTGGATTATGTGAAGTTTGAAGGGTTTCCGCTTGCGTTGCAAATTTGGTTTTATGAATGTTGTAACAAAGTTGATGGTTCAATTGCAATTCGTAAATCCAATCGAACGCCTAGAATATTCAATTGGTATATATCCAAAAACAAGATATATTTTGACCATCTCCAGAAAGGAATGTTCAGAAAATACGGCAATCAGGTAATAGAAGTTCTTTTGTTATTATTTATTAATCTTATTTTTTATGAGTAGTGTATATTAACAATTTATTATTATTGTGTTAGTATACATTTGAAGATCTTGTGTTCATGGATGAGGAGCTTCATATCATTGAGTCGGAAAATCTTACTGTTTTGACTGATATGCCATTCAATAAGAAGAGTAAACGTGATAGATATGTAAGGCAAAATCAGAATTTACAGACTCATTCTGTCGTTCGACAGAATGTTAAAGATTTGCCTCATAATTCTGCACAAAAGGTTGGAAGTGATCCGAGTTTGTCATTTAATAAAGATTTGCAGAAAATTGCCCAAGAAGTTGTGAAGGTATGATTATAAATTTTATTTACTTTCTGTCAGAATTTTGGGTGAAGAAACATTAATGTCATTTTAATTTTTGTTAGGTTCGTAATGAGTTGGAAAAGCTTGAAAAAAATGTAGATGCTAAGTTTGTTGAAATGAAGGCTTTTATGGATTCATCATTCAAATATATCATTCAAGAGTTGAAATCTCTTCATAATGATGTTTCAACCAACAAAGATTTAGGTGGTGAACGGGTTAGTCTACTGATTAATATATGGACTTATTATTTTCTTATAAACTAATTTTTAGATCAAGATTATTATAAATGTTAATGTGGATATTTTGTGTTGATTTTAAATATTATTAATCTTCTTGTCGATTGTATATCTGTAATTAGCTATATTGTTGTCTTATTGTAATAGTTGAATGACTCAAAATTTTATTTTTATTTAGAACATTAAGGTTGTTGTTGAGGATCAAAGAAAAGGAAATGTTGATGTTCAAAATGAACATTTGCAAGATTGTGGAGATAAAGATGGTATCCAGACACCATCTTCGTTTCGTAATCATGTTATTGATAACAATTGTAAGTTCTTTTTTGTTAGCTTAATTTTTTTTTTTATAACTATTTTTAGTTCATTTCTGATTTGTGTTTAAAATTTCATAATATATAGATACATAAATGATGTTTGTATATCATAATAGGTGGTGTATCTGTTGATTTTGAAATAAATAGAAAAACTCCTACATTGGATGACTTTGTTATGCCCAATATGCGTGAATCACAGTTGGTTGCTCTTGAAACTGGACAAACATACGTGTCATCATTGGAGATGTTGAATCTGAAAATATTTGTGTCACACCTTTGGAAGTTGCTAAAGCTGGAAAAACAAAGTTAAATCAGTTTGGTGTTATTGAGGGTGAAAACACATTTATCTCACCAGTTCAGCATGTTCGTACGAAGATTCCAGGAAAGTATGCCCAATCACCATACACAAACTTAAGTGAATCAGGTGGCACATCGGTGAACACTGTGAAGTACTGTTTATGGAGGCATCCTTTTGTAAATTACAAGGGGTTTGATATGTACAGTGAAGTTATCCTTCAATTTAAGAAATGGGTTGATAGCAAATTATCCAAGAAACGTGGAAAGTATGTATTGTTGTGTAATTGTATTTTACAATTTGTTCATTCACTTTATATACTATAACTACTCATTTTGTTTTATAGGAAAACCAGTTTCTTCACTGCTGCTTCAAATCCAATCGATCCTCCTTTTGAGTTTGGTGTTGGTAGGGTGGATTTGATGGATTGGTTTCACCCTTTGGCTTATCCAGGGCAGCTTTGGAGTGATTTGGTAATTTTTTATGGTGTAACTCTATATTAAAGTAAGATTTGGTATTTGTTTTGTTGTTGTGATTTTAAGTGATTGGTAAGTAAAATTGGCTTCATTGTAGTCACTGAAATCTGGATTTAGTTCTATGGGGATAGTTGTTTTTGGTATGTATGTTAGGAAAATCAACTACTGACAGAAACATAGACTCCTAATTATAGTTTAATTGTTACAATGACACAAACATATAATTTTAAATATAGTCTAATAGGTAATAATCAGATAATGGTTATTCTTTCTACAAGTTGTGATATTATTTTTTTGTTTGGTGCTAACTAATAAAACTTGATATGCAGCATGTTGATGTGATAATGTATTATCTTCGCAAGTTTTGCAAGTATGGTCCTGATAATAGTGCAAGAGTTACTACTACTGACCCTTTTTTCATCAGTTGGGTTGTTCAAATATATGATGCGTGGGAGGCCAATGGCAAAGATGAAAGTCTGATTAGTATACATCATGAGGTTGCACAATATATAAGAGGTGATAGGATTCTTGCTAATATTCCATGGGTGGATGTTGATCATGTATGCATTCCAGTCAATAGTAGTGCTGCATTCCACTGGTTTCTGGTTGTTTTTTCCATCAGAAAAAGGTGTTTATATATTTATGATTCTTTAAATGGTTATGGGGTTAAACATACTAATGCAGTAACAAGTTTGGTTCAAAAAATATCTAGAATGATACCTTTGTTCCTAGTTGCTACTGATTATTATGCTTTAAGGAAAGACATTGACTGGAATACAGATGTGCATTATGCTGGAAGGCCAGTTGGTGATCCTTTGGTATATGGTAATCGTGAAAACATCCCACAACAATGTGACAATTCAACGTAAGTATAATGTGGCTTTTTTTGTTGTTGATTTCACTATGTATTGTACTAATTATTCTGATTGGGTAATATTTGCAGGGATTGTGGTCTGTATACCTGTGCTTTTGCTGAATATGTGTGTCGTGGAGATAGGAACGTATCTATGTCGGGTTTAAATGCTGAAAATCTTCGGTTGAGATATGGAGCCTTACTGTGGGAATATGGAAAGATGAAAATTGATACTGAATCTGTTAGTGAAGATGAAGCTTCTAACCAAGGTCGTCGGTCAAATCTGAGGGTCAAGGAGTAAAAAGTGTCATTTCTTAAGACAGAATTTCATGAATGTTTTATGCCTTTGAATTTTTTTTGTAATTTGGATAGTACTTTAGTTGCGTTTATGGTATTTAGTTCGTTGGATATTGTCTTTATTCTGTGATTTTGCATTTATTTGGTTGTTTTTTTGATTTAATATTGTGATAAATTTATAGTGTGAGTTTGGATTGTACATGTATGAGTTTGGTATAAATTTAGGTATAAATTGGGTTTTATCATTATTGAAAAATTATATTAAATGCTTTTATATGATCGCTTGGTTTCTTTCAAAGTTGCAGGTTGGTATTCATACCAATGTGTTTACCCAGTTTGGTACTTTTTTTCTTTTATAAGTACACCAATTTTCTTCTTTAGCATAGTGTTTTTTCTTTACCAAAAATTTAACCATTTAATGATTTTAAAAAACACAGTCAAAGAAACACCAAAGTATTTTATCAATATGTTAACCATTTAATAAACTTAAAATTAAACAGTCAAAGATTATATACCCTTAAACCAATTCTTAAAATTTATGATTTTACAGGTTATCATCAATAAATGTTGGAAATATTTTTCATATTATTATTTACACCAATTCACATGCTTAAAATACACTAAAATATGTACCATATTTTTATTTTGTGAGGTTTTAATTATATACCATAGATCGTCAAACTTGAGTTTTTTACACCACCAATTACAACAAATAATTTATTAATGCACTCATTTTAACTTATGTATGTTCCTATGTAAGATAATATACCATCATCATTATGACATTTGGTTTTAATATATACCATCATTATTATGACATTTGGTTTTAATATAGGGCCTTTAATATATACCATCACTTATACCAAGCTATGTACCACTTGTAACAAGAGTAAACCAATTTTACAGTCAGTGAGTGTTAATTACTGTAGCGTCCAAACTAATATACTAACATTTATTACTTTTCAATTTATTGTTTTAGGTTGGTAAAGTGCAAACATTTGTTTTACTAACTACACAATTATTATGATCCTTTATTTTTACCATATATTTGTTCTTATTTACCATAATTTTACCAAGAATTTGGTTATATTTTTTATCAATATTTCTGGATATGTGACAACACGTAATCCAAAAGAGTTTATGATATCTACTATATACAACCATTTATAACAACTATGTATTCAAAATTATGAATAAGATAACAAAAAGTAATCAACTTTGAAATAAGGTAATGCAAACAGCACATCTTATAAAAGTAATATAGTTCAACTGTATAACAGCAAAGTTAAAATAACAACAAAAATATCACAAAACTAATTTTCATGTGTTATTTTTGGGCAAGTCTTCTTGTTATGCCCAACTATACCACATTCACTACAGGTTACTTTCCTCTTCTTTCCCTCTCCTTCGGTGAATCCCTTTTTGCGATCATTTTTTGGAGGTCTACCAGGTTGCTTTCTTGTAATTGGTGGTAATACTACCTCTTCCAAGACATGTGATGGAACATCCCAAGTGCTTTCACAAGGCAAGGGTTCAATTGGTATTGCATATGTATCTTGATAATTCTTATTACTATAATAAGCTGAACAATAATCATCGCGATGTTTATTCCTATGTCTGATTGCTGCAAGTGCATGACTACAAGGGATCTCATCATGTTGAAATCTGCCACAACTACACATTCGTGTATTCAGACATACTGTAAACCTCTTTGCACCATCTGTAATGGTATGAAGGTGTATTGTTGATGCGCGTACCTTCATTTTAGAGCATTCATTATCAAAATAAAACCAAAACATAATATGCATAGTAGAGAATTGTTAATACTTACCAGCATACGATGAGACAAATTTCTATTGTCCTCCAACATTTCATTGTATTTACTTGTCAAGGTTGTTGTAGTATTTCTACCTTCTTCGTTGTGTTTCTCATTCCAAGCTTCAATTGTTTTTCTAACAAATTCCAACAATGGTTCCACTGGTAACCTTCTTCCAACTAGAATAGCGTTATTTAGTGACTCTGCAATGTTACTTGTTAGTGTCCAAGTCCTTTTTACTGGTGAATGTGCGCGTGACCATTTCTCATAATTCGCTTTTTGTAGATAAGCACGGTATTTTGGATTAATTTGATCCATCCTTGTCATCAATTCATCAAACTCTTGAACAGTGTAAGCTTTTGCTAAACAGTCAAACAAATACCAAATTATTTACCAAAAAATTAACCATATAATTATTTTAAAAAACAGTCAAACAAATACCAACGTATTTACCAATATTTTAACCATATAATAAACGTAAAAAAAACAGTCAAAGATTACATACCCTTAAAACAATATTTAAAATTTATGATTTTATTAGGTTACCATCAGTAAATGTATGAACTATTTTGCACATTATTATTTACACCAATTCACGTACTTAAGATTCACTAAAATATGTAACATAACTTTATTACGAGGTTCTAATTATACCATAGATTGTCAAACTTGTAGTTATTGACACCAACAATTACACCAAATTATTTATAACTACACTCACTTTAATATATGTTCATAAGTAAGATACTATAATTTGACCAAACAATACACCAAATCATGCATCAGGCTATTTGTTTGGTGTCAGCTATTATTGACAATTATACCAGATATAATACCTAAACAAATATAGAAATACATACTGAAAACTTATTGATATAAAATACTTGCTACCATACGGATCACATCATACCAATTAAACATAAACTTTAACAAAAAACAAATTTTACACATCAGTGTACAACAAAATCATACGAAATTGTTGAAATTACACCAGAATTTGGACGATCCCGAATGTCAACCAAATTGTATGAATTAATTTACTCCAAAATTGACAAAATATATAAAACGAATAACTACCAAAAAGTACAAAATATATTTGTGTAAAATCAAATTCGATCACAAAATAAAAAATCATGAGAATTATTTTTTATATAATTACCTGCTGAGTCCCATCGTCCGTTGTGTTGAATTAGAATTGAGAAATTATTGGTATGCATTTTTTTTCAATAATCGTTTCTGTTTGGCCGATTTTTTAAGTCAGAGAAAGGAGTTATGTTTTTGGTAGGAAACCTTTATTTATGGGAGATAATATATAGCATATTTGAATAAATTAGGGAAGGTAAAATTATTGGAGAAATTTATGGGAAGTGGGATAAGCATGGCTGATTTGGAAAATCTTTTTTTTTTAATTTAAATTCTACTTTTGAAAAAAAAAGTATTGCTATATAATTGAAAAATAAAGTATTGCTATGTTGGTGTAAATACAATTGTTAATTTGTATACTTAAAAAATCCGCCCTAAGCTACACATGAAAAACAACTAAAGTCAGGTAATTCCTAAAGTTGGCTCGTAAATGCAAAAATATGCGTGAAAATAGTGGGAAAAAAATGGGTAATGCAAAGAAGCCAAATCCATGGGCTAATACACGAAAAATAGTGAAAGTCAGATAATTCCTCAAAGTTTGATCGTAAATGTGAAAATATGGCTGAAAAATGGCTTTGCCAATTCATTACGGAGGTCCTCATATAGTTTATTTAGAAAAAATTCAGGTGTCCTAAGGCGCCAGATCCATGGGCTAATAACCTAATACACACGAAAAACGACGAAAGTCGGTTAATTCCTAAAAAATGGCTCGTAAATGTGAAAATATACGTAAAACACAACGGGACAATACGTAATGTTTTCCCAACTCATTATGGATGTCCTCATATAGTTTTTCAGGAAAAAAAATTCAGGTGCCCCAAAGGCTCCAGGTCCATGTGTTAATACAGACGAAAAATGGCGAAAGTATGGTAATTTCTAAAAGTTGTCACATAAAGGTGAAAATATGCACGAACAAATCAGTGGGACTATACTTAACGATTCCTCATCTCATTACGAAGGCCCTCATATAGTTTATTCAGAAAAAAATTATGAATGCCCCAAAGACACCAGATCCATGGGCTAATAAACACGAAAAATCAAGAAAATTGGGTAATTTCTAAAAGTTGGCTCTGAATATAAAATATGCATGAAAAAATGGCGGAACTATACGCAATGTTTCCCAATTCATTACGTAGGTCTTTATGTAGTATTTTCATACAAAAAAAATTTGACTGCCTCAAATGCGTCAAATCCAAGGGCATTTACACACGAAAAACGATGAAAGTAAGTTAATTTCTAAAAATGTCTCGTAAATGCGAAAATATGCATGAAAAACGGCGGGGCTATACGTAATGCTTTCATATCTAATTACGTAGGTCCTTATATAGTTTTTTTAGAAAAAAAATCCAGGTGCCCCAAAGGCACCAAATTCATGAGCTAATACATACAAAAAAATGGAGTAGTCAGATAATTCCTGAAAGTTGGCCTGTAAATGCGAAAATATACGTGAAAAAACGGCAGGACTATATGTAATACTTTCCCTACTCATTACGGAGGTCCTCATATAGCTTTTCAAAAAAAATGATCCCTTAAGACGTCAAATCAATGGGCTAATATTAACACATAAAAAAGGCAAAAGACGGATAATTTCTAAAAATTGGCTTGTAAATGCAAAAATATGCGTGAAAAAAATGACGGGACTATACGTAATACTTCCCAAACTCATTACAGAGGTCCTCATATAGTTTTTTCAGAAAAAAATTTCCAGGTAACCCAATGACTCCAGATCTGTGGGCTAATACACAAAAAAAAAGGTGAAAGTCGGTAATTCCTAAAAAGTTTTCGTAAATACGAAAATATGCGTGAAAATAGCAGCGGGATTATACATAATGATTCCCCCACTCAGTATGGAGGTCCTCTTATAGTTTTTTTAGGAAAAAAAAACCGTGTGTCATAAAGACGCCAGATCCATGGGCTAATACACACGAAAAATGATGAGAGTATGTTAATTGCTTAAAGTCGGCTCATAAATGAGAAAATATGCGCGAAAAAATGGCAGGACTATACGTAATTTTTTCCCAACTCAATACGTAAGTCCTCATATAATATTTTGAGAAAAAAAATTATGAGTCCCCCAAAGGCGTCAGATCCATGGTTTAATACACAAGACAAATGGTTAAAGTTGAGTAATTCGTAAAACTTGGCTCGTAAATGCGAAAATATGGGTGAAAAAAACAGCGGGATAATACGTAATGCTTCCCCAACTCATTATAGAGGTCCTCGTATAGTTTTTTCAAAAAAAAAATATTTGGTGCCCCAAAGGCCCCAGATCAATGGGAACACACGAAAAATGGTGAACGTTGGATAATTGTTAAAAGTTGGCTCATAAATATGACAATAACGTGAAAAAATGGTCGGCTTATACGTAATGCTTCTCCAACTTATTATGGTGGTCCTCATATAATTTTTTCAGAAAAAAATTTGGATGATCAAAAGGCGCCAGATCCATGGGCTAATACACACAAAAATCAAGAAAGTCGCGTAATTACTAAAAGTTGGCTCGTACATGCAAAAATATGTCTTAAAATGGTGGGATTATATGTTATGTTTCCCTAACTCATTATGGAGGTTCTTATAAAGTTTTTTTCAGAAATTTTTTTTGGGTGCTCTAAGGCGCTAGAGCCATGGGCTAATACACATGAAAAACCAAGAAAGTCGTGTAATTCCTAAAAATTAGCTCGTAAATGTGACAATATACCTTAAAATGGTGGGACTATACGTAATGCTTCTACAACTCAATACGGAGGTCCTCATAATGTTTTTTCAAAATTCTTTTTTGGATTCTCTAAGGCGCTAGATTCATGGGTTAATATACACAACAAATCAAGAAAGTCGCGTAGTTCTCATAAATTGGCTCGTTAATGCAAAAATATGTCTTAAAATGGTGGGACTATACATAATGTTTCCTAACTCATTACGGTGGTCCTTATAAAGTTTTTGAGAGAAAAAAATGATTCTCCAAAGCGCCAGATCAATAGGCTAATACACACGAAAAATTAAGAAAATCGCGTAATTCTAAAAGTTGGCTCGTAAAGACAAGCATATGCCTTAAAAATGGCGGGACTATACATAATGTTTTCCCAGCTCATTGCAGAGGTCCTCGTAAAGTTTTTTCGGAGAAAGTTTTTGGGTGCTCCAAGGTGCCAGATCCATGGTCTAATATACACGAAAATCCAAAAAAATCATGTAATTTCTTAAAGCTGACTCATAAATGTGAAAATATGCGTTAAAATGGTGTGACTATACGTAATGTTTCCCCAACTCATTACAAAGTCCTCATAAATTTTTTCGAAAAATAAATTTGGTTCTCCAAGATGTTAGATCCATGGGCTAATACACACGAAAAACGAAGAAAGTCGCGTCATTCCTAAAAGTTGGCTCATAAATGCGAAAAATATGCCTTAAAAATGGTGAAACTATATGTAATGCTTCTCCAATTCATTACAGAAGTCCTCATAAAAAAAATCACATAAATTTTTTGGGTGATGTAAGGTGCCAGCCAGATTCATGGGCTAATACAAACAAAAAATAAAGAAAGTTGCATAATTTCTAAAAGTTTGATCGTAAATGCGAAAATATGCTTTAAAATGGTAGGACTATACATAATGTTTCTCCAACTCATTACGAAGGTTCTCATAAAGTTTTTTCAGAAAAAAAGTTTGGGTGCTCTAAGGCACCAGATTTATGTATCCTTCTTAGGATTTAGGATTTAGGGTTCGGGGTTCGCAGTTCAGGGTTTGAGGTTTTGGGATTTGTATTTCGGGTTTTGGGTTCTGAGTTCGGGGTTCGAGTTTCAAGATTCAAGATTTAGGATTTAGGAGTAAGTAGAAATACATCTTACTTTCTACAAATAAGTAGAAATACATCTTACTTTATTCTAAAAATTACCACTTATTTTGAAATGAAAGAAGTATCATTTGGCCAACTATACAATGATGTTGCGTATGCATATGTAGTAGTAAATTAGCGAGTCATGAAAGTTCAAGTCTATAATCTTGTAAAGAGGGTTTGATCTTAACTAGACTACAAGTTATTCTTTTGGTAGACATCACCTGAACAACACCCTATACAGTTTCTATATTTTATAAATTAGATGATCGAATAGTTTAAACCAGAAATTATCCATATTCTTTTCATTTTTTTAATTATCCCTATTTTTTTAATCCATAAAAAAG